AGGGAGAACAATCAGACTAGCTGGAACAAAAATATTATGAAATGCACCCAGCTTTCTAATGAGCACAGCAAATTAAGAGTTCAGGGTTGCTTTTACATCCAAACACGTCCAAGCAAGGTATCAATGCCTATACAGAAGGTGCCCTTCAGACAAAACCAGAGGAAGACAATACAAGCAGAAACTGAATTATTTTTTTGGGATAGTGGGAACACAACCTGACAACAGTTGCCAATGAACTTGCCTCAGCACAGTCTGAGATTAATGGCATTTTGGAATGAATAAGCAGGCTGTCGATTTACAGCCATATAGCAATGTGAGCCCAAAAATACCATTCAAGTCCATGACCTCAAAACTGATGAGGCCAATAAAACGAGCAGTGAAATTCTGTTTTGCAATTATACAATATTAAACAATCTCAATGACCTTACTTGTGAAGACACAACCAGTTTATCTCCACTTGAAGAACACAGAAAGCAAAACTATAGGCAGCTACACTGAAGTTACACAACAAGTTTCAAAGAACAAAATAGAAAGATGATTTTCATTTTTCATTGGTTTGGATTTCAAACCAAGTGATTTGACAAAATTGCCAGAATTCATATCTGACCAATTTTGGTTTTACAGTGTTTATGTTTAGCTGTCACAGATGATACAAAGATTGAATTGACAGTTATGATAATCCCCAAGGCATCTAACCCATAATCACTGTGCTGATAAAATAAAAATTGTCAATGAAAACTATTTAGAACTGAACACATACATAATTAGTATCTCTATATGGATCTGCAATTGGACTCTTTAAAAAACAAAACATTTCAAACATAAACATATAATTCCAGCCTTGTTTCAATCCAGATTATTCTCCTTGAACTATTCAAGTTTTTTTAAGTAATCAAAATCAAGAAAAATAGTATTTTTAGTACTTGAAGGACTTTGTATAAAACTATTCTTTTTATTTGACCATTAAGAAAAATATAGAAAAATCACACCAAAAATATTTTTTCAAAATCAAATACTTTTTCCACTTTAGAAAACTAACCTAGTTTTACCATTTAGATTTTTGAACATACTTGAACAAAAATATTCTGTTCTTTCATCTGCAGTAAGCAATTGTAACAACAGAAATTATTAAAAAAGTAAAAGCAAATATTGACAACCCAAATTATAGGTTAGTGAAATTGTAAATAAAATTACTTTCAGTGTGCAATATAGAAACGGGCTTTTTACAGACCAAAAAAAAATGCAAATATAAAATATGCTATCCACAAAAAAATATATACCTTACAGATCTAGTAAATATTTTAAAATATTTTACTCCTGATTTGTTTTCTTTCTCAGACTAGTTTGCAAGAATCAACTGAATGATGCCGGACTGAGCTGCTTCTGGCTCCTTGGAATGTGGGGCTTTTTTCCCTAAAATTCATAAAAAGGAGTCTTTCACCCTTGCTTATATCCATCTTCAAGAAAGCATTGCCCAAATTTATTTCCCATTTATCTATAGCATTATTCTCCAAAAAAGGAAGAAAAACAAAAGCAAATAATAAATTTAAAAAATTAATTGTCATATTTTTAAAATGTGTCTTTTTCAGGAAAAACATGCTGTCTAAATTCTAATTACACTATTTAGCCAGAAACAGAAATAGACATCTGAGTCACTGAGTGTAATCCTTGCTACCAAACCCTCATCACCTGTAGCCAACTCCCTGAGCCTGTTGTAAACAAGCGACATGTCCTAGCCTACCCTTCTGATAGGAGGCTGAACCCATCTACTTTTCCAGCTCCAGTCTGAATTTATTCACAGTCACCTGTTTGGATTTATGTTGGCAATTGCTTTCAGGATGAGTGTTCCAAATCTCATCAAGATAATAGTCCTTAAGCAAAATCATCACCTACAGCATTACAGCAGAAAGATTTAAAATAATCTTTCCACAATGCAAGTCAAGTTATTGGTTTTTGCCATTTTTATTTTAAATTATATCCATATGTTAATATGAAAGGTATTACTCGAGCTATCTACACCTTTCATGCACATTTTATGTTGTTTTTTCTATATTAAAAAAAAAAATTAAAATTTTGTTTTCTCTTTTCTCTGCTTTCATACTTCCACTTCCTGCCCAGTGATCTTATGCTCCCTTGTACCTACCACTCGTCAGGTCTCTAGGGTACAAAGCTGCATACAGTGTATGGGACTGGGGCTTAATGCTTCTCAGCAGCCTCCAAGGGCTCCTGTGATATCTGCTTCTTCCTCCCCTCCTTCCACAATCCCTGGCACAGCCTATACAATCTACATCCCGTCCTCAGCTTCTGGAGATGCCACAGCGAGATTCAAGTAGAGTAGCAAGATGGGTGTAAGAACTCAGTCCTCAGTGTTCGCTCTGTCCCTTTATTTTCTACTTACACTCTTCCCACAGTACTCCCATTAATTTTACTCTTTTCTCATTCTCTTTTCATCAGTGCCTCCTTAGTGCCTGAGGAGAGAGCAGACAAAAGACATGGGATTCAAGACTGCTGCCTGGAGTACCTCGGAGTAGCTGCTCTCAGTGTGCCGTCCCTCGCTGGGCAGTGACATTTCAGGCAGGGTGTGTTGGGCCATGGCAGAGAGAGAAACATGGCCATCACGCGAAATGAATGATTAATGACTCAGCTGAGGAGTCATTCAAAGTTGATTCTCAAATGAATGAATGACTCAACTGAGGAGCAAAATGACAAGGTCTAAACTATGAGAGCAACAGTCTAAGATTAAAGTCTACACATGACCTTTGATCTCTACCCAGAGTAACAGTGCTGTCTACAGTGCTCCAAATGGCAGAGGGGAATTCTGAGACTGATGGGATCACAGTGCCTCAGAAGGACCTCAGAGTCCCTGTCATGCAGCACAACCCCCTGATCCAGCAGGGTCACCCACAGCAGGTTGCTCAGGATCAGGGCAGGGCTCACCTGGGAGTGTCTCCAAGCATGGAGACTCCATAACCTCCCTCGGAAAGCTGTGCAACTGTTTGAATGTCCTCATTGCCAAGTTTTTACTGTCCACCCTCCCCCATTTCATTTTTTTTGTATGCTCTTTTTCTCTTTCTGTATGTTCCTTTCCAGAAACAAAGACAACCAATGAGCACAAAGTAAATAAATAAGTAGGGGGAAAAAATAAAAGAAAAAGAAAATAAGTGATAACACAAATCTTCTATTTTAACTCATTATATTTCACCTATCGCAATTTCTCTGGTTGCCACAAGATTGGCACAATTCTCAGGCTTGTATCCACAAGCCTGAGCATTCTGTTATAGGAAGCAATGGGAAATCTATCTCCCAGCTGCAATCTCAGAATTCCCATTGTTTGCACATTGGTACCGTGCAAACTCATGAAGTGAAAGCAAATAGACAACACTGAGTTAGAACTTGGTTTATAATCTAATGGACAAATGTTTTTCTTTAAATCATTATAAGCAGTCTTCAGTCCTGCACATGCTTCACTTTATTATCAAAAGCAGCAACACAAACCTTTAAACAAAAGTTCTGTAAGGTTGGCTCCTAAATTTCATCTCGTTTGCACAACGAATGTGGCTTTTTCTAATTGGTTTTAGTTTCTGAGTCGATATTTACAGAGAGATACTGTTGCTCTTCTGACACTGCAACAATTCAACCAACACAGAATTTGGAACTTTTTTCCCAGTGCCTATGATGATGAGTACTGAACTGGAAACCTAACATGCTCTTTCTACTTCAGTGTAACCATGACAAGAAATTTCTCTGTTCCGAATTAATCTGGGGAAGGGGGAAAGAGAAGAAAGTCTTCCAACAGTTGCATTGTCCTTCATTTATTACCTGGTTGTTAGGGTATAGATCAGAAACACAAAGAAAATAAAGCAATGTTCAGTAATGGCCTCTGCACCTCCAAATGATGTGATAGGAAGTCCATGCTATAGCCATGAAGGGAAATAGAAAAATTCCAGCTTATTTCATTACACCTTTTTCCAAACGCTCATTCTCCAACTTTTGTCTGATATCAAGGCATATCACTTAGGGACCCAAGTTTAAAATAGGCTTATCTTAAACACTAACTCCAAAACTTAAAAATAAACTACAAAGAAAGCATGTTTAATTCGGAAAAAAGAAAAATGAAAGAAAATCAAATTAAATCAAAACAAAAGCCAAAACCAGAAAATAAGTAAAACATATATATATCCAACCATGGGGGAGAATGATTTTTGGAAAAACATATTTATCTAAGAAAACAAAATGCAATTAGAGAAAACTATTACTCAGTAATTACCAAGTAAATTCTACCAAGTTCAAAACCTGTGCTGAAAAATAGAAGGATCAGACTCTTACTTTGTACCAGGAAGCGCCCTGATGATAAATCTCACTAAATACATTGTTTCAATATCATGTGCATAAGTATTGCTCAGCATCAGCTGAGATCAAAATACAGCATTTCACTTCATTCATACCAGAAAAACAATTCACTGCCTTGGGTGTGACTGCCCTCTAATTTAAATAATTCCTTTCCCCATTATGTCTCAGCCAATTGGAAAAGGCACTAACATGTGATTTCAGATTATTTTATCTACTATTGTCTTTCTACCTCCATGAAGGATTTTGACTGAGGAGCTGGAGGGCGGGACAGGGGGGTCACATTGTTCTTTCCCAACGGCAGCACAGGATTTATGGCACTGTCTATAGCACACATTAAACAAAGTACTACTGCACCTGAAATATTCACCTTAAGACATACTTTAGGCAACTTTTGCAATGCCTGTGGCTTGTTTTCTGTTGCTTTTTAAGACTTCTCAGTGACACTGCAGGACACAGGAAAAAAAGGAAGATATTAAGAAAAGTAACGTCTGAAAGAGTGAAAACTAAACCCAAACCAAAACACCCAACTTCTAAGCATTTCCATAGGTATAACTGGGTGTGCCCAGCAAAGGTTCAGGGTAAAAGCAGCATTTAAAATTGCCTGTGACGGACAGAAACTGCAAAAACCAAGAGGTTTTTTTTTGACTTACATTGCTCCCAGCAGGCTGTTGCCATTCCCTCTGCGGGGCTCTCACTGGCCAGGGGGATCACATGACACTGGGAACCAAAATAGAAAAGTCTCGGGAGCAAGGAAGCTGAACCAGAAACACATTTTCAAGAAAAGACCTATCGTGTGCGTGGTAACACGCCCTGAGGAGCAGAAGGAGGTAAATTTAGACAGGAACCTAGGCTGTGCTGAAAAATGTGTAGTGCCTTGAACTTTGCAATCCGGCATCAGCTACCCTTACAATGCATGGGAAATGTTCATAAATCTCAGCCCGTGTCTGTACGTAACTAAACCTCCTAACTGCTGTAGTAAATCGCCAGATCTTAAAAGAAAATAAGATCTATCAAATTTTAAAATTAATCTATTGAAGTTTCAAAATAGTCTTCCACCATCAGAACCATTTTCGTCTTAAGGCTAAGGTTTCCAGTAGTTTGTAGAGAGAAAGCAATTTTTTTAAAAGGATATGCTTTTAAGATAATTGGGTGAGCTGTAAACACATTTCAAGGATTGCTTTCAATTCTTTCACAAGTGAAAAATATGGTTGCAGACCTATATGTTTGTAAAATGTCACTGTAAATCTATAAGTCTAATAATTTAACCATAAAGATATAAACAAAAATGCAAAGAATCTGAGTCAAAAGCTGAACAGATGAGTTAGTGACAAAATGCAATTTCCATCCAACAATAAAATAGCCTCTAAGTATATTAAGGCTGCTGTTTAGTTATACCTGTTAAAAAATTAACTCTTTCAGTTTTGTAAATCTTGTAAAAAATAAATTCCAGCAAAATACTATTCTTGGGATTACAGGAAATACAAGTTACCTTCTGTAACAGCTATCTTTTTCATCATTTCCTAGTCATTCAAAATTAGATTGTTACAATTTTCATTCTATATATTGTCAAGATTTCCTTGTTTCCTGTGAGTATCAGGACAGTCATTGTAGAAAAATCTTTACGGAAAAATGCAAACAGCAGGAGAGAATCTGTGATCAAGGAAAGGGAAATATGCTGTATATCTTAAAAGGACAAGGACAGGAAACAAATTTGTGTTCTAACCTTTAGACGCAATCACCCTCACCTTACAGTCATAAGACAAAAATATTGAAAATCCCACCCTTTCAATGTAACTGGCTCACAAGGCCTTCTGGATAAACAAAGGATAGAGAATGTAATTCAAAATCCTACATAGCACACTCCCAACTCTACAAAAAAAAAAAAATGAAAATAATATGAACACGAATTAAGAAACCAAACTGTTCCTCTTTTATTAAGAAAAATAAATAATTATAAATAAATGAAAGTAAAACCCCCACACACAAAAGTGCTTTAGAAAATATCAGATTAAATTTCCCAGAAAGAAGTGTACACATGTATCAAAATACATACAATATCAGAGAATATCTTCAGTCAAGACAGAAAATTTGTTATTTAAAAAAAACCAAGATCTGCTGTATTCTGCAGGATACACCAACATAATTTTTCACGAAGTGAAGTACAAGTCCACATAAACATGGTAGTATAAAAGAACTCCTTGTATCTTCCCTTTTCTTGTTAACAAGTGTGAAAGGAAACTTGAGCATTGACTCAAATTAGTAGTAGAAGTATACACCAGAGCTGTTGCCATTGGTTATTTAAATATAAAGAAAACTTTTCTAAAACTACAAATTCTAAACTATTTGTTGAGGGGTTTTTGGGAAGAAAAGGTAAAAAATTTTGAAAAGCATTTTGAAAAGCATATTGCTGTGTACATGCTTCCAAGTATTATACCAGGTACATTACTTCTATCACTGAGGTCTTAGGAGAAGCTTTGCATTACTGAAATTGTGCCCTTTTGCAGGTAATGTGGCAGAACTGAAGTGGATGGGAGCTTGCCATTGATCATGGTGAGAGACAAACCAGGGCACTGATATAAGCATACAAAATACACAAACCAGTAGATTTTGTCATAGCTCTTAAAATTACTACAGAAAATTGACTTCAGCTACCTCTTGTTTATTGATTTCAGAAATCTGTATGGAAAATCATCCCTTGGATCAATTTTAAATGCAACAGTGGCCTGCTTTACTGTATTTCAGACAAAGCCTGAGTGGCAACATTTTTCTCAGGGTATTTTCACCATATCTCCCAAACATAGTGTAAATCATCTCAGGAACCCCTCTGTGCTCAAACACGTAATTTATTTCATTTGCTTTGTGTTATACTCCTCTCTCTTTCATTTATCAATTGGGGCCTATGAAAGCTGCAAAACACAGAGTGGGTGGGGGCTATGCTACAGTATTCCATCATAGGTAAGTCAGTGGGTTGGAAATATAATCATGTGGGGAAAAAATCTAAAGGCAAAGACAGTGAAATAAATGGCTTGAGGAATGCCAATTTAGGGGAAAAAATGCACCCATGTGGACTAAAAGCACAGCGAGGAGGATGCACAACACATAAAAGACAGTGTATAAAGGCTTGGATAAAAACAGGAAGAGTGTCAATGTTTTCTGGAGCTTAATGCAGAGTGAGGAAGACTTGAGACAGAGTAGAATGTCTCTTTATGCAGCTGGTATTGGTGTTATTCTACATGCCTGCTTCCCCCAGTTTTCTTAACACTGATATATAGAATCATAAAGTCATTTACATTGGGAAATATCTTCATAATCATCAAGTCCAGCTGTTAACTGAGCATGGCCAAGTTCACTACTAAACAAAGTCCCTAAGTGCTACATCTACATGTTAAGTACCCCAGGAATGGTGACTGAACCACTTCCCTGGGCAGCCTGTCCCAATACTTGACAACTCTTTTGGTGAAGAAATTGATCCTAATATTCAACCCAAACATCCCCTGGTACAACTGGAGGCCATTTCCTCTCATCCTGTTGTTTGTTACATGGGAGAACACACTCACTGCCACCTGGCTACAACCTCCTTTCAGGCAGCTGTAGGAGGTCCCCCTTCAGTGTCTCTTTCTCCAGATGAAACAATCCCAGCTCCCTCAGGCACAAGACACAGACCCTTCATCAGCTCCGTTGTCCTTCTCTGGACTCGCTCCAGCACCTCAGTGAGGGGCCCAGCAGCCTCGCCAGTGCCACGTGCAGGGGGACAATCACTGTCCTGGTCCTGCTGGCCAGGATGCCACTGGCCTTTCTGACACCTGGGCACATCTGGCTCGTGTTCAGCTGCTGTTGACCTGCACTCCTGGGTCCTTTTCTGCCGGGCAGTTTCCACTCTGCACCAGAGCTGTAGCACTGCAGAGCGTTGTTGTCACCTAAGTGCACAAGGATGTGGCACTTGGTAGTGAACTGCTTAAACAGGCAGGCACTGAATGAGCAATTTGACAAATACTGCATTTCAATACTCCACTTATTTTTTTAAAATACTGTCCAGTATATATCTCTCAGCTTATAAAGTTTCTGCTGAAAGTATATTTGGGACAGACACTAATATGTTGATCTACCCTGGTAGTACATTATGATTTCCTAAAAAAAGTCAAGTCATTGATAGTTAAAGAGATAGTTAAGTCCACTATATAAAGCAGTGTGCAGAACAGTATTATCAATTTAAATTGCTAGAAACATGTATCTCTATTTTACCTTCTTGGCAGGTAGCTTAATTCTTGAGCCAAAAGAAACCAAGTCAATCTTTTCAAGCTGTGGGCTCACTTACATCTCAGAGTAGGTCGAAATTAAACCAGTTTTCTGAGATAGTCTCTGTATATTAATGGAATATTTAACAAGAGAAATAGCAGGGCCAGCAAATTATTCCACATCCATGGATAAACTCAGCATTTGGACCCCTTTTTATTCACAATACTAATACATCCGCAAAATAGTTTTCTTCACCACACCCCAAAAATTTAATTTGGACTGCTATCACTGAGTTTCCATATGTTCTAAAGGGACAGTTTGCCATAAAGTTAGTGGGAATTTTTAGTATAAATAAACAGAAATTGACTAATAATATGTTCATCCTTCCTTATGCCTTCAGTTTAGAGCAAAAATGTATGTTTTAGTCTTAACTATTCCTGCAAACAGGAATAATGACTTTAATTCCTTTAATTTCTTTAATTCATCTTGTGTATAACTGTAATCCACAGCCATTTGAACAAAGTGTAGTAATCCCACTGCTATAATTAGCCCTTAAAACCTAAAGATACCTTTGTAACAGACAGTCACCCCAGTTTACTGAGATTCACCACATACATCTTTGCAAATATACAAGTGTGTGGTGACACACCTGATCTAAACCATTCTCCTGACAAACTTCATCCTCAAGCAAGATAAACTCCTTTAGTGACCTTCTATGATTGAAGATTCCAAGTGGTGATTTTAAAAGATCATATTCCAAACAACCAGGAAAAAAATAGTTTCCAGTATGTTCTAATGTAATAATAAAACATAACCCTCCTACCCCAGTGATTACTGCTTCTGATGAAGACTTTTTTCTCCCTAGCAAATAAAACATTTCTATTTCCCTAATAGAAATACAAGTACTTAAAGACTAATTTTGTGCTTTAAGGGGAGAATGGAAATAAGAGATATTTCTTAAACTGTTTACATACAAAATGAGACTTCACATATAGAAGACAGCAGCCAGTTTTATGCAGTCCCTATTTCTGTTAAGAGAAATTTTGAAAAAGGAGAAATGTCAGGTTACACAGCATTATCCCCTGCCTGCTGTGTCAGCCATCAGTATGTCACAAGCATTATTCTACAACTATTCTACCAAACTATTCAAAGACTAGAGATACACATTACTTGACTTTTTTTTTTTTTTTAAGAGTGCTACCAGGCTCTTTTTCAGTTTAAACTAAGTAAAAAGATGTATATGCAACGTTTGAAATGTAATTAACTTCGGGTTATCTTGATGTAATGCAATATTTTGTTATAGTTACTTACATAAATTCAATCTATTTAATAGGAAATGATCTTTATTTCTATCACTTAATATTAGTAATTAATTTAGAGTATATACAATTAATGCAGGACTAAAAATGTAATTTCAGAAAAATATCGTCAGAACTGTATGCACCAAACAACT